AGATTAATCAAATACAGCTTTTCTTGTTATCTTTCCATTAGTAGAATCCATAAAGCTGAAAAGAAGGATTCTGTGATAAGAGGATCCTTTGCTTGGCTCCTTTAAACCTGCCTGTTTCTTTGCAAATGCAGAGGAGGGGCTGGAAAGAATGACGTAGCCTCCGGTAACCTTGGGCTGGCAAACCCACAGACCCAGCAGATCACGATCAACCTGGCTGTCACATAAAAGATGCTCCCAGGCCACTGTGTGTGTGTGTGAGTGTGTGTGTGTGTGTGTGTGTGTGTGTGTGTGTGTGTGTGTTTTAATGCTCCACTGATCTTTGCAAGGAACAGACTTTTAAGTATAGTCCAGATGGTGATGGATGAACATACTATTTCTTCGTCCTTCTCCAAGACAGGGTAATTGTGAATCATGCATGGCAGTCAGTGGTCATTTTTAATATTTAAATGACATCTAAGTTGGAGATTAACATTTGTAGAGAGCAGTGAGATCCCAGGAAAAAGGGTGGGAAGCCACTTCTACTTTCAAATGCAGGAAAACAGATGGGCCTCCCATTCAAGACATAAGCACTGAAATATTTAAGATTCCTTGTAATGCTAGAAGCCCACAGAAGGAAATTTTAATCAATCTCTGTCTCTCTCTCTCTCGCCCGCTCACTCTTGTCCTCGCTCTCTCTCTCTCTCTCATTTGGCATTGCACACTTATAGATCATGAAGTTGATTCCAGAGGGCAAAATTACATTTTGTTTTTAAAAGCCCAGAATGTAAACTTCAGACACAACATTTGACTAAGGAAACATAGTCACGATCCTTAAGTATAGGAAAACAATAACTACCATAATAATTATTATCTTGAAGTATCCTCAGATACTTTACAGAAGTGATCTAATTGTTCCCCTGCACACCCTTCATGGGAAAGGTGTTATTATTTTCATCTTGAAGACAAGTATAATATCTACTCTCAATTTATAAGTGTCATTTCTTCTGAGAAGCTTCATTATTTATTTTCTTTACAATATGAACATAGACACCCAAAATTAAGTAATTTTATAGAGTGAGAGGCAGAAATAATCTATTTTTCTATAGATGATTGATTAAAATTCAGTTTTCCAAATTTTTGATCATATGCCCTATGAAATTATAAAATGTCCACAAATATAGACACTTAAAAGGATTAGATACGAAATAAATATACCTTGAAAGTCTAGTGCTTGTCTGAGCTCTCCTGCAGTATATGCAGCCCCCTCCCCCACACACACTTTGGAATAGGCATCGGGGGAAGAAGGACGTGGAGAAATAATATGGTTCTCTTCTTCCTCGCTCCCTCCGATCAGTCCTGATAATCGCAGCTCTCACAAGTTCTACCTGGAGCTAACATAGGGTACAAGGAAAATGGGAAGAGAGGTGAAAGAAGGAAAAACAGAAGAGATGGATGAAAGACCCAAGAAGGGAGTGGGTAATAGGAACACAACGGCAGTTCCCACGCATCAGCGTTAGGCACAGGAGGCGTCTGAGGGCTGCTGCAATGGTTTGCTAGGGCCGCCATACAAAACACCAAACCCTGGGTAGCTTAAACAATACGAATTTGTTTTCTCACAATGCTGGAGGGTAGAAGTCCAAGATCAATGTGTTGGCAGATTTGGCTTCTCCTAAGGCTTCTCTCCTTGAGTTGGGAGAGGGAAGGGCCACCTGCTCGCTGACCTCGCGTGGCTGTGGCTTTCCTCTGTGTGCCCACATCCCGCTGCCCCTCTGCGGGTCCCAGCTTCCTCCTCTTACAAGACTCCAGTCAGGCCCTGGCCGGTTTGGCTCAGCGGTTAAAGCATCGGCCTGCGGTCCAGAGAGACCCGGGTTCCCTTCCCACTAAGGGCGCGTACCTTGGTTGCAGTTTGTCCCCATGTGGGTGGCAGCCACTCGATGTGTCTCTCTCACATCGATGTTTCTCTCTCTCTTCCTCTCTCCCTCCCACTCTATCTGAAGATAAATGCAAAAATGTCCTTGGGTGAGGATAAAAAAAAAATAGACTCCAGTTAGATTGGGTTAGGGCCCACCCTAATAACCTCATTTTAACTTAAATATCTTTTCATTTAGGCCCTGTCTCCAGTACAGTCCCATTCTGCGGTGCTAGGCTTAGAGCAATGAATCTGGTGGGAACATAATTCAACCCCTGACACACGCAGTCGGCCCTCGTTCATCGCGGTCAATCAGTTCCAGACTCTACTGCGATAAACGAATTTCCCCGAAGTAGGGTTCTTTATTTATACAGTCGTCCCTGCCACTTCGGGCTTCGACGTCCGTGCGTCACTCTGTCGCGGTTTTTCAGTATTTGATAAAACTGGGATAGCCTGACGCCGAAAGTCGAAGCGTGAAGTGGTGGGGGGGGGGGCTGTACTTTTATTTATGAGCATCTTCTGCTTTTAGGCACGTGTGATATCAGAAATCTGTAATAACCATACGGCATGAGTGCTGGAGGAAATGCTGTTAAAAGATAGACTGAGGCACAGGACATGTTTCAAGAGTTCATTCGCGTGAACATGGATTCTGGGCAGAGAAAGCAGAAGCCGTCAGGACCCTCCGCCAGCAGGAGCTCGGGACAGGCCTTGGTAGAGCAGAGACAGAAGCAAAGCAAGGAAACGATTTGATTGGCTGTAGCTTGAGCAGTTGCCTTATTTGGGAAAGCCTGGGGGGTCGTGATTGGTTGTCTTAAATGTTGTTTTCTCAGGTACAGGTATATGTACAGGAATAACTCTGGCTCAGGGTTTAGTTTGTTTACATACGTTACCAAGGCTCTAGAGCAGCGGTTCTCAACCCGTGGGTTGTGACCCCTTTGGGGGTCGAACGACCCTTTCACAGGGGTCGCCTAAGACCATCGGAAAACACGTTTCCGATGACGATTCATAACAGTAGCAAAATTAGAGTTATAAAGTAGTAACAAAAATAATTTTATGGTTGGGGGTCCCCACAACATGAACTGTATTAAAGGGTCGCGGCATTAGGAAGGTTGAGAGCCACTGCATTAAAGCCATCTGGGGCTCATGGCCTCCTTGTTGAATTACTTGGACACAGTCAACAATGCTCGTTGGCTCTAGTGAATCACTCAGCTGACCTGACTCAAGTTCCTTACCTAGTCAGTCTCCCAAGGTGAGCCCCTTGTCGGCCGGGGGCTTCCTCCCAGCCGTTTGTTGGAGACCTTCCAAAGCCTCAAGGTGAGGCTGCTTTCTCCACCGAGCCTCCAGGTTTGTCTGCATCATAATTCTGACCATGACCTCCTTGAAGAGTGGGCCATTGCCTCTCCTCTCTTCCTGTAAAGTGACAGATGACACATGAGACATTTCTCTCGTCATGTTTTGTGAGAGGCACGTTTCCCTCAAAGCTCCTCTACTTTAAGGGGGTCTTTCCAATTCGTGATCTGCACCAGAGGGCCTCGCCCTCACCGCAGAGGACCTCAGGGGAGCACTACATGGGCTCCGCACTGGCATCCTCAGGTCACGCAGTCCCCTGGGAAGCCGGACCGCCTCCCCGGCTGCATTCGGTGACTGAGAGCAAGCAAATCCCTGGTGACAAGGTTGGGGGCGGGGGTGGTGAACAAAGTCCTCAAGGGAAAGTTATTCTTTCCAAAAAGGCCCTAAAACACATGAATATGTAATTGCCTCCACTTTAGAGAGAGGTGACATTCAATATCCCCGTTCTAGAATACATGAATGGGAATTATGTCACATTGTTAATGAAGTTTCCATTTTAGAGCACTTTATTGATTTCCCGGTTTCTTTAAATAGTAAGATTTATGCATTTCTTTCTGCATTGATAGTATAACCTAATTGGCAAAATTATGATATGTGTATATATTATGTAATTAAGTGGTTATGTAAAGTCAGTAGAAATTAATGGATATATTCATTCACTTAACAAGCTTTTAGCCAGCTTATTCCACAGTCTGGAAATGGGACCAAACATTAGGAACACAAAAATGAACAAATCCCTGCCTGGGGAAGAGGGGAAAGGTGAAGAGACGTACTCTAGAGAGCTGGTCTCGTTTGACTCATGCATGACAGTCACCTAGGGGGCAGGTTCAAGCAGATTGCTGGGCCACCTCCCATCCCCCACTGCCCAATGCCCTAGTTTCTGATTCAGTGGGGCAAGAAATTGGCATTTCTAACAAGTCCCCTGGTAATGCTGCCGCTGCTGAGGGACCACACTTTGAGAACCACTGATCTAGTGTTACAAATGTTGGGGGGCTATGGAAACTCTGAGGAGGAGTCCCCAGTATTGGCTGGAGGGTGAGGGGGTTCAGAGAAGATTTCATAAAAAAGAAATAAGTTTTAAAGGACAAGTGGGGAAGGGGAGGGAGGGGGCTATTGGGTTATGCCAAGTACATTTTGTTCTAAAAGACAAAGGGAGAAAGTACATATGGTTTGAAAAAGAACAGAAATAATTCCGTTTGGCGAGGATGAAGTTTGAGTTTGAAGTCGCTGCGGGAGACAAAGCTGGGGAAATATGCAGGCCTAGAGCCACAGCTGCGGGCCCTGTGTGAACACTGTCCTCTTAGTGGCCACAGACCCCTGAGTGTCCAGAGCTGAGGCTGGAAAACAAAAATGTGTTCCGAGAAAAGGACCCTGGTAGAATTCGGCCAGTTAGCTTTCTTCAGAAGAGGCTCCTTTCCCGAGCCCAGCACAGGGCTCTCCAGTCTTTTGGAAGAAACCTTGTCATTTCTCTGAAGTGACCGACTCACTGGAGGAGACAAGAGAGGAGAAAGGTGTGTCGTTTGCATATAACCTGAACTGGGTGGGGGGTTGAGTTTTTGCTATTAACACATGACATTCAGCATGATACAAGAATTGTCTCATTATGGTTGGCTCTTGGAAAACCCTAAGCTTCACCCACCTCTGATGGCCTCCTGGTCACTCAGAGGGGAAGGGTGACAGGCCTAGGAAGGAGGGATGGGGAGAGGGGGACACCCTGGCAGCACAGGAGGTGATGGAGTGTGCTCCGTTCCTCTTTCCCTAGGGGAAGATGACGACGACGACGAATGCGGAGAGGAGAAGCTGCCCTCGTGTTTCGATTACGTGATGCACTTTCTGACTGTGTTCTGGAAGGTCCTCTTTGCCTTCGTGCCGCCGACAGAGTACTGGAATGGCTGGGCGTGTTTTATCGTCTCCATCATCATGATTGGCGTCCTGACAGCTTTTATTGGCGACCTGGCTTCCCACTTCGGCTGCACCATTGGCCTGAAAGACTCCGTGACTGCGGTCGTGTTCGTCGCACTGGGAACTTCAGTACCAGGTAGGCAATTCTTTTGCCTTATGACCTTATCCTGCCTAACAAGTTCAAGGACTGTGATAACAAACCAGGCCTCTGAAAAGCAAGAGCCCAGAGATATAAATAATGTCACTGCCGGAACATGCTTCCAGGCTAGAAAGCTGGTCGGTATCATGATGGTGACCGGAAAGTGTTCCCGAAGGGACTGCATGCCCTGCGTGGGGAGAGCAGGTTGATTGGATGGATAGACTGATAGAGAGCGCCCCAGTACAATTAGCCCTTTCCAAAAGACAGAAACAAAAGCAAAAGCAAAATTACAGAATCATCCTCAAGAACAAAATTTCTGTCTTTTATAGAATTATTAAAGTTTGGATGATTTCCATGAAACTCTATTCATTGGGTAACTAAGATCAATACTTATGGAAGAACTGACACACTATTCTCTTCACCCAAGTGTTAATGGGAGTAAATATAAAGAGGCATACTTTGATCAGGACTAAGTACACATTTCATGGGCATCCTCATGCATCCCTGCAAGCTGAACGTGTCTTCCAGCCCACAGCTGGAGCTCATTATGGTTCCTCAGACTGCTGAGTAAGACATCATCCTCCCAGACACGACATTGGCAGCAGTAATTTCAAACTTTGGTGGGCATCAAAATGACCTGGAAGCTTCTTTCAAAGAGACAAATGCCCGAGACCCACCAGCAACCTATGGAATCAGATGATCCAGGGCCCAGAAATGTGTGTTTTGAGCTCACAGGTGATGCTGGTACACATCAGAGCTTATTGTAACGGATGTTCCCTTCCCCAGCACTAGTCAACATCTTGACAGGTATACAGCCTTAACTCTGAGTGACCCACATTCTCTACCAAGGTCAAGGACAAGTGTCACAGTCTTGGACCTGGGGGAGAGGCAGGGCTTGAGGGGAAGTATGGCCCTGTTGATGGTACCATTTCAACGTTCCACACTTACCGCAGCTCTGATGAGCGCTGTGATTTCTAACACGTGCCATAATTGGCAACCTTGGCTTTTGGTTTTGAGTCTGAAAACCAGTCCAGTTTAAATCATGTCTGTCTCTTCACTGGGATCCTCTAGTTGTTTTACACTCAGATACTTATCACCTCAGTGACTGAATACACGTTATTTAACTTCTCTGAGCCTCAGTTTCATTTTTTTGTACAATCAGGATGACCTGATTTTAACTTGCAGAAATGTGGTAAGGACTGGAGAAAACACCTGTAAGTTCCACATCTTGTAAAGCGGATGAGACATAGAAGGAATTTAATACAATAGTAGCTCTTGTGATTGCTTATGCTGCATAGCTTAGGAGGATAACCAGGGATGAAGTGTCCAGGCTTATACTGGTCGGCCATCGCATGTGGTGCCACCCAGCTGACCAACCGTGTGGGAGTCCTGATCCAGCCGAGCGGGGGAGGGGCCCGGGGACGCAGGACGTGCTGTCCCTCCTGCCTCAGAGAGCAGGGCTATGCACCGCCTTCCAGATGACTGCTCTTGGCAGAGCGGAGCGGGCTGCCTCTCAGCTCAGCTCTGTGCTTGCAGCTCCACAGTTGGTCTTTATTTTGAACTTTTTCCAAATAGGAGCAGAAATTTACCAACTGGAGGAAAATTGTAAAATATGCATATTTGAAGTTGCTTTGTTTAGAGAATATATATACAACTAAAGGAACCAAACACCATGGTTATCCATTGCTCTGTGGTTATTATAGGAAGATGTTTTGAGGTCTACTTTGCCTAAGGCTTAAATTACTGTATCAAATGGTGCCCACATTAGCACCATTCGCTGTGGGTTTAACCCTTGAGGAGAATATGATCAGATTTCTATAATGAAGGCAAAACTAGGTCTCTCTTCAGCTATTCAAAGGCAGGAGTTGGTCCTCGCAAATGGCATCTCTTGCTTTCAGAAGGAGTTTAAACAGGTTTTTCCTACATTGACTCTTTGTTCCAAAATATGCATTGTTGTTGTTTTTTAATTTCTCAGCTCCTCATCCTTATACCTCAAAACTGGCTCCTTTTCCTATACAATCTTCCCAAATGGTTGTCTGCATCTTCTGGGTTAATGCTTTTGAATAGCGTGCATACGATTAAAAATTATTTTCCTGTAACATAAAATGTGAATTACAGTAAACCTCAGTGTTTGCATGAGTCACTTGCTCTGTCACTAAAACCAGCTCAGGTCCCGGAGAGAGGCATTAAGAGGTAAGAAAGCCTTTTGGGGAGAATATGACAACATCATTTGTTGTCAAAATGGTTTCCCTGCACTGCCGTAAATTCTTCCCATTGGGACACAGATTTCTTTGCTCTGTTATTGGGAGAATTCTTGTAATTTGTTGCTATATTAACTGTACAGCATGCTCCCCAAACAATATAATCATGGTAATCGCAAATAATCATATCTCTATAAACAGACTTTTATTTTCAAAAACAGCTGTGCAAATTGAACAAGATGCTGAATGAACGTAATATTTCTGACTTTTCAATGCTGGTGATTCTGAGTAGTGCTTTATCTTTTTTTTTTTATATATCCTCACCTGAGGACATTTTTTGACATTTTGTTCAGATAGAGTAGGAGGGAGAGAGAGAAACATCGACGTGAAAGGGACACATCGAGTGGTTGCCACCCACACGACCAACCAGGGCTGGGGACAAACTGCAACCGAGGTACGCGCCCCTAGCGGGAACCGAACCCGGGTCTCTCCAGACCGCAGGCCAATGCTCCAACCGCTGAGCCAAACCGGCCAGGGCTGCTTTATCTTTTTTAATCCTTACCTGAAGATATTTTTCCATTTTAACTTCAGAAAAAGTGGGAGGGGGAGAGAGAGAAACATCGATGTGAAAGAGACACATAGATTGGTTGCCTCCCACATGACCCTGGACAAACCGCAGCTGAGATACGTGCCCTTGACCGGAATCGAACCCGTGGTGCTTTGGTCCTCAGGCCGATGCTCTAACCACTGAGAAAACCGGCCAGGGCTCTCCTGACTTTTTAAAAAAATTCTGTTGTTGCTAGATGACAAAGCCCCCTGCTGCAGGTGGAAGAAGGACACATCCTCTTTGCTTACAGCCGCCATCCAGTGGCATCGGTCCTGGAGTCCAGCATTTTCTCTAGGCTGAGACCGTGGCGGTTTTCCTAACATAGAAGAACTCCTGACTAGTGCGCAGTACACTGCTGCCCCTCTCTAGGTGAGACTCTAACCCTTAGCCTGTGATCGCCTGAAGGGCATTGGAAACCTTCCTTGTCTGAAGGCAGGATTAAAGATCATTTGAAATATTTTTTACCATATTGCTCAAAATCCATGAGAAAAGGAGCTTATGACTTTCTAGGTGAGACACAGCCTCTTCCTCATACCAACTGGTGGCAGGTGCTCATTGAACCTACTGACAGAGAAAGATTCCTGCGGGTCTTCACCCCCCACCCTGAGGTATGCATGAGGGAGTTTAAAGACCCATACAGGTTAGTAAAGAAGGACCTGCTTTTCCCCAGTGACCGTTCACAGAGCTACCTGTCTGGAGAAGAGTCCTGGACAGTTTCTTTCCACCTCTGCGCATGTCTTGTACTCATAAACTTTTGAAAGTGTGGCAGCCATATGATTAAAATGTTCTTATATAACATGAGATACGGATTGCAGTTGGGGTGAGCCAGAGCCTGGTCTCCAGCCCTCTTCTCGGTCCAGGCTCCCTCCCTGCACCATCCCGTCCGTCCCCATGCCTTAAATGCCATCAAGATGCCGATGCTGTCCAAGTGTGCATCTCCAGCCTCGACTTTCCCCTGCGCTCCAGATTCATATACCCCTGCCTTCCCTGTACACGTGCCAGATGTGTGATTTGCAGCTCAGAATTACCATGTCCAAAATAGAACTGTTGATCTCCACTGCCTAAGCACCTTCTCCTTCAACGAAACCATTTTTTTCCCCACCTTGCCTTTCTCTGGAAAACAGTACCATCATCTGCCCAGGAGTCTTCGGTTGCTTTTCCTCAGCCCCACAGTCTATAGGTCCTGCAGATGTTTCCTCTAATGTATATCTTGATCGAACCTGCTCAGCTGTCTCCCCTTCACTACCCTCCTGGTCTGGACAGTAGTTCTCTCTCTCTCAGACCCGTGCCGTAGGCTTCTGTTTGTCTTCATGCTTCTGCTACAGATCGTTTCATGATATAAATCCAGCCACATTTCAAGGGCTTCCTGTTTCACTTACGATAACCTTGAAAAGCGTTGCTCTGGCTTATAAAGACCCGTGCGGTTCGGCTCTGCCTCTCTTTCCATTGTGTTCCGTTGTGTCTTTCCACTGTTCCTCAGCCCTCCTGGCCCTGGTACCGTCCTGTTCCTTTCTCGGGGATGCAAGAGCTTTCTAAACTGCTCCTTCCCTCATTTACACAAGACTGGCTCTTTGTCTGCTTACCTCTCCTCTTCAATGTCCCTTCTTCAGGGAGACCTTTCCTAACTACACAGTGTGAAGGGTCAGCGCGTTCCTCTGTATTATATCCCCTATTTTCTGAATGTATTACTTTCTGGATTTTTTTGGTTTATCTAGTCAAATAAATATTATTGTCTAACTCTCCTCACTGAAATGTAAACTTCATGGGAGCAGAAACCTTGCCCATTTTTTTGTCTCTGTGATATCCCTGGCTGCTAGAATAATGCCTAGCTAACACATAAGTAATGAAATTGTGTGTGTGTGTGTGTGTGTATTGTGTATATAAATGAATGTACAAATAAGTCATTTACACATTAGTAAGAGTTGGTTCAGTCAGACTGCTTTCTTCCTAGAGACAGCTACGAATTACAGTTATGACAGAGGGAGATAAACAGTAGATAATTCTATAGTGTGGCTCATGTATGAGGAATAGAATACATCTGAGGAGGGCATTATATTACGAAGGGGCAAAGGTAACTTAAGAACAGCAAGAAGCTTAGCACAGAAACATTCTTCCTCTTGCATAATTTTAACTATGGTGGGAACTTTGATGAAGAACAAGATGTTATTTCTTGCCTTTATTCTTTTCTC